TGAGCAGTCTGTTTTTTCCTTAAATCCCAATTTACAAAAATAAAGCTACAAGCTTGCAAATTATAGCCTGTGGGACTGCTGGAAGACAAAGTGAACCTCTTGTCAATTTTGCAGCAAAATGGCCATTTGCAAGGCCTGATCCATCACTCTATATATCACAAACACACTGGCTTTTTATGTTCCAGACGCACAAAGTGATGCATACCTTTTTCAAAAGACGACTGCAGATGCAATTTTAAGAACAAGACACAATGATCTGTCACAAAAAAATGCTATCAATGCCCTTTGCCACATTTCATATGGGAACGATATTGGCATCTGAAGGACCGAAGGTCTTTAATGTTGTTGTACGGAAGTCTAATGTATGGTTTTATTACAGTAAAATGTCAGCTATCATTCATAGCTCTCCATTTTTTTTCAAAGTAATTTGTCCTACCTTCATAAAGCCAGTCGCTCAGCCCGTTAAAAATTACTCCTTCTTTCCCAGTAGAGACCAGGCGGATGGGTCGGCTGTCTGCGTTCATTTTATAGAAGATGTTGTTTTCGAATATAAATATCTAAAGTGGAAGAAACAATAAGAAAGTAAGCAGATAAGATCAAGTTCAAATATTCAGAGTAAATTGAAAAAGCATCAAAGCAGGAATTTAAAGTGACAATAAACTCAGAAGTTCAATCTTAAAAATGCATTCAAGTATCTTTGCTAATAACAAAAATGTATCTTATTTGTGTATCACTCGGCTGTAGATCCTTGTGTGTGTTGTAAAGTAGCCACCACTACTAGTAGCCACAGGTAAGATGTAACTACTGAGTTTAGTGTCACTTTAAGGCTTTCAGGCAATGCTTAGTGTGTGATACAATAAGGCTATGCATGCAGTATTAAATTGGCCATACACCTATTGTTTTTTCCTGTTCAGCCCCATGAGAAAGGGGGCTCAAATCCCCCTCACCTGGCTATTGTATTCTGACAGCGGTGGGTGTGACCTGTCAGAATATGCAAACAGTTCCTGCAGCTGACTGACAAAAGTCAATTGCCAATTCCAGAGAACAAACGTGAAAATTGTAGTGTCCCCTTTGATGTCATTGGTTCCCCTCCCTCTCAGTCGCAGACTGCTCTATAGAGGTTTATTGGAGACTAATATAAACACATATTACATATTACACTCACAATACTTGCATTTAGGGGGCTATTCACTAAGCTGCCAAAGGCAGCCGAATGAATAACCGTGCCGAATAAAGTGAGTCGTGCCATGTTCGGCTATTCACTGAAGCCCTGCATGGCTATTCTTAGCTGTACATCAGCTGCATTCGGCTCACTTCACAGCCCTTCAGTTCAACCGAACAGCCTCAGCACACTCGGCTGAACCGATGGGAAGAACATCTGGATCATCTAAGGTTTACATTCGGCAGTTCATTTTCTGCTGTTCACCCTATTCTCATAGGGGCCGAACAGCTGAGAGTGAATAGCCGAATGCTGCCATGCATTTGCCATCCCAGGCTGACTGTCCTAGGCCTGCCTCTTTGATTAATTGGATTTCAGTTAATTATGGAGGCTCTGCATTACATATCGATGTTGCCTAGGAAAGCCCACTTCTTCAGATTGGCACCCACCCATCAATGGATGGTGACATTTGATTAACTCCTCCATAGAGCCAGCCCACTGCTTGCATCAAGGCTCTTGAGAGAATTACTGGGGCAGGGCGCTTTGATGTTTTAAGGAAGCTATGTACAGCAACCTGCATGATCTGCCTGCATTGCATAGAGAAGCACAGAGACCAGATGACTTTTCAGAGTTTAAAATAAGGTACGTAATGAAAGTGGAAAGGTTTTAATTAAAAACTCTATTGGAATGTTAATGAAGGGGAGAAGGAGAGCCCAGCGAAGGCCAACTATAAACAGAATAATTTTCAGCATTAATTCTGCACTGTTATAATTCTGACAGTGTACAAAGATGCCAAAGCGGTCTTCTATCACATCACTTCTATTCATCCTCAATACTGCACTCCACAAAGAACAGGCTCTACTACTTCTAGCATAAAACAGAAATCTTCCCTTATGCAGAATCGCTAAAAACGTATGGGAGAAGCACTGACAACTGATGTCAGCCTATATGATGCAGTCAGCTGGCCGACCTTGTACATTTGAAGAACGTCATTGTATTGTTTGGTGACAGGTCCTTTTTAGGAATCCTTTGTAGCTCAAAAATGGATGGCTATTAAGTATACTTAATGTCTAATGTAAAGGCAGAACATTAAAACCGGTTTGTCACATTTGCTATAAAGCCTGTCAAACAGTGCACGGGGGCATGTAAATAAGCAATTATTCTAAATTATTGGATACAGTTTTTCCGTTCAAAAACAGCTGACAGGTGATGATGGGAATGACAGTAAAATAGAAATTTTAGAAAAAGAACAGTACAGGAAGAGGATTTGAGACATCACTAATAACGAGCAGCTATTTTGGTTGCTCAGAGATGCCAAATCAGTAAAATAATGATGGAATTATTTAGGCTGCAGGGGGTAAAAGGTTAGGAGACGCAAGATGCAATCCCTTCATCTACATCTTCCCTGCTGTCCTTTTTTGGTGGGATGGTCCCCATTTACAGATATTGTCATTGGTGAGGCTCCTCAAATTGGGTACAGTTTTGAATGATTATGTACAATTTTGCGGTGGTTAGGCAGGGTAAGTGTAATACACCTGTGCTTACAGAAATTCCTTCACCTGAAATACAGTAGAACACTTTAACTTGCATTGATTCACTAATTAGAGAATTTAACATTTCTTTGCCCAGTCCATTAGGCCCCACCCACACCTAGGCATTTTGTAGCTCCTTTCCCTAAGCGCGACAACACTCAACAAGGGGAATCCCATTGTTTTCAATGGCTTTCACACATGAATGTTGCGTCACTTGTCGTCAGTCGCGTGGAGCTCGAAAAAGTACATGAGCTTCTCTTGGGGCAGAATGATTTGGTCTCATAGACTTTGATGAGAGGATTTGAAAAACGATTGAAAAATATGTATCTATGCATGTTTTTTAGGCACTCCCATGTAAAAGTCTATGTGGTCAAAAATGCATGATTTTGCTCCTGGACTACAAGTCGCACATACAAACTTGGGATGTTCAGATTCCAAGTACCGTACTCGGTAAAAGTACAAGTACAGATACTTTTTCAGCTCCTAGACTAAACTAGAGAAAAATTCAAAAGTTAAGAGGCAGCTGTCATTTGTAAGGAGCATACGGAGCTCCTGGGATTTGTGCATCCCTGTTTCAATGTATGATTTGATTTTTATAAATATATATTAGGAATGCACCAATACCATTTTTTTACTGATACTTATCCAAGTACTCACTGATACAAGTACTGATACATTTTTGTTGTCATATGACAGTTTTTCTAAAATAATATAGACTAATGATTTCAGGACAGTGGTAGAGTGCCAGTGCTAGGTCCCAGCGGCAACTGCTGAAACCCTGATTCTCGTGAAAATGCCAAGTATCGGCACTGGTATCTGAACATCCCTAATAAAAACAATTGAAAACCACACAAACAATTTTCTAAATCACATGGATTTGCTCACACAAAAGTTACATCATTACATATTTTGCTCATGGTGCCAGCATGTTCACTATCTGCAGGGTTAAGGCACAGAGCAATTCTGAAATGCATAGCTCCTTTCAGGCAATAGACTTTTCTCTGTAAAATTGTTGTCAGTGGTTGAAAGTGAACCTGTACTTTGCCCAATGAGTGCAAAGTACCAGGTTTTCTTGGTTGCCACCCTCGGCTACTAATAATTAGCTTTCTAACAGGGCTAAAGGCTCTCCTCCATCTCACTTGTGATAGCACTAAAGACTGGCAATTGGCTACTTAGACACCGAGTGTTGCATTGTAGTGGGATGGTTGAATCAAATGCTTTCAATACTTAAAAGTAAGGGGAATTTCACATGGCTCTAGCAGGTTAACTTGTTAGAGGGTATAAGGTTCTTGCCCCCTTGTTTTCCAGGCAATTGTTCTGTCACTCATCTTACCTGCTCTGTATATATTAGGTGTGGAATAGATGGGGGAAATCCCACTCAGAGGGACTCCAAGGGACCAGAGCACCCTTTAGGGTATGTGGCTGAGTTTCTCCTATCACCCATGTGTCACGGGAGAAAGGCAAACTAGTTAACCTCCTTGTGGGCACTAATAATGCTCTAGTTCTATTAAGTAAGATGAAGTCTTATACTGTATGCAACCCCTAAATGTTGTGCAATAAATTTGGAAAGAACATCTACACATTCTTCGGTTTATTACCCATTATTTGGAGTAAATATTAAGTTTTTCTAGTAGGACCCGACTGGACATTCCTTCTTTATGGGCTGGAAAGCTGAAGAGAAATGCACAACATCAGTGCGGGTTCTTCTCTGGCTGCAAAAGCTGGTCTGTCTGGTGACCCATCTGACCCTCCCAGGGTAAAGTGAGTGCTAAAGATTACTTGGTCCAAAAGGGTCAAGGGACCCCTGAGGATTGTGTAGAAGGATCCAGATAAAAACCAGCCTATGAACTGTGGTAGCTGCCTTAAGGGGTAGAGTTTGCCCGCAAGGCTGGGCCTGAGTGTTTAGTAGTTGCAAGCTAAAGGCTTTGGTCCATTTGCAACTAGGCAGAATCTGGAATTAACCAAGTTGTAGTTTCTAGTCCTGACACAGGAGGGAGCTCACCTTCTGCTCGGTAACAAATGGCAGAGGAGTGCAGGGAAGGGTAATAACATGAAAGAGGGAAGGCTATCAAGCAACCTATTACTCTGTCCTTGAGTGGCAAACAACAGCTTCACTTTAACTAAATGTCACCACATACTTCTGATTTTCTTCTGCTGATTACTCAAGAATGGAAGTTTTGATTTAAAAAAGTAAAAGTGATTTTTGGGTTGCCTCTCTGTAGCACAATTCATTTTCAGACACACATTGAAAGTGTCAATATTTTATATTAGCGTGTTGAGAACTATCCCTGTTGCAGTGACATATCGCTGCCCATGTACAAACAATATGAGCATTTCTCCATGCACAGAACTGGAGTGTTAAGACACAATGACATTGCAGCATGGAGACCCCTGGGAGGTAACTTCATTCACCCCCTTTACGGGCTGTCTTTCACATTTTTCCTAACAGTCTTCATGTTATTAGTTTGCTAACCTCTCTGGAGAGCTGCCGGCCATTTTTAATGTCCCCTGACAGGTAGAATGTGCTAAATGAGGTCACCTGTCTTGGCCTTATGGCATATCCCACAGGCATCATAAAAAAAAGGTCTTAGCTTTACATTAAATACAATCTTCAAATCAGACCATCTAGATGACAGCGGGCCGATAAACAGTGAGGGAAACATGCTCCAGAAACATATATCAACATAACGACTAATATAGCAGGGTGTATTTCCACCATGTAGCAATGTTCCAAACCACTGCTTCCAAAAGGCATACAGAACTGCAAAACAGGTACCACGTATAGCCGCAATTTCTATGCCAATATAACAGCAAATTGTTCTTACATACTGTATGTCACACAGCAGTAAACATAGTAGATGTAGTT